TGTCAGATTTCCAATAGCCTAATGTGCTCTCCGACAATTTATTGGTTATATTTAACATGGAGGTATGTGGAATTTGCGACAGAAAGTTGTACCAAATTAGAGGAAGGCATGTAAACAGGGAACAAGTGGACCTGATTCATCGACCCCCACCGTTAAGTTTCTCTAGATCGCGAGAGGCCACCCTTTCTGGTCGGCCAACAAAATACATTTTCTTGATTGAATATTCCTTTATTTCTGCTATAAATCAAGCATATATGCCGGGTCACTTTTTACCGGCCCGACAGGACCCCCCAACAATTTGGGGGATCAGACAATTGGGACAGAGTGTTTTATTGCTGTCCTGCATTGCTCTATATAATTTGTTGAATGTAGCTTTACACAATAAATTGAGTCAACCCCGTTCATTTTTGCTGTAATATTGCTGGATGCAGTTTTCCTATGGGCTAACGTAGGCTTTAATAGAACAGCTCAAGGTCAACTGGTGCATGGCCACCACTTCTAAGAGAGTCAACCGTCTCAAGAGGAATCTGCGCTGGAATTATTTGGTCATCAGAGGTTTGTAGGTGTAGGAGACTTTTGAAACCAGAGGGTGGGTTGATACTATATTCACTGCGTCCTGGATTCTATCAAGCAGTGGACGTTTGGACGAATGCACAGTTATTCTGGCATTGTCTTTCTGGGCAGGAATTCCTGCTGACATCAATGCGCCAGCCTTGGCTCAGCTGGTAGCACTCTCGCCTCGGAGTAAGAAGGTTGTGGGTTCATGCCCCATGTCGAAACTCTTTGAACTCGCACAGTCTGAGCTAACATTGCAATGCACTGCTCGGAGTGTGTTGCACTGTCAGAGGTGCTGTCCTTCGGATTGAGACGTTAAACCGAGGTCCTGTCTGCCTGTTCAGGTGGATTTTAAAGACACAATGGTATTCTTCAAAAAGAGAAGGGAGTTTCTCTTTGTTTCCTAGCCAACAACCCCCCAAGTATAATCAGTCACTCACTTCACGGCTATTTATGTTATATTACGATATGCAAATCGGCTGCAACGGTGGCTCTGCAGAATACACACGCACTACACTTTACAGTAAATCCTATGAAGCGCTTTGAGATGTTTTGACAACATGATATGGCGCTTTTTCAAAGGATTATTGTTGTTATTAGACACTGAATCTCCAACTTTCTGGGGCAGAGTCAGTTGGTTTAGATAGAAATGAACAGCCCTGTGTTGGTGATTTGGAAACATGTGGTTACTGTTAAAACTCAGTAAACACCCAAGATAAAATTCCCTGTATCAGTGAAGCCGGCTTTGGTGTTATTGTGCACCTGCTGTTGCTCTTGTAGCTACAATTGGAGCAGTAAGCCTGTATTGTCATGTGTTTGTAATTCCTTTAGTTATAGAAATGAATTGGCACTTTGCCCAGTTCGAGGTTACACCATTGTCGATTCTTAATTGACAAGTAATTAAATCAGAAATGTAGTATTGTTTAGCTCTTCAAGAAGTGACTCCAACAAAATGTGCAATTGGCTTTGGCTCATTTATTACGCTTTGCCCTCTCTCGTACGCTAATGGTAAATTTCAGAAAACTTGAACTCTTATGTTATACAATCAGGTACTTTACCCATCCCCGTTTTCATCCATTGATCGTAATCTCATGAAATTCACGATTTATAATAATAAATGATTCTTGCATTTGATGTAATGCCTTATCAGGTCTTCGAGACGTCTCAAAGAGCTTCACGGAATATACTGTAAAGTGAATTGACTGTGTATTTTCTGGGCGAAATACGGCGGCCAATTATGCACAGCAGCGTCCCACAGTCATGGATGGAGTAACCAAATTATTATTATTTTGTTTATTTAGAAGGGATTATTACCACCGGAAAAGCTGTCCGCCAATTGACTAACACCAGGTTCCTACTTACTGCTCGGTAAACAGAGGTGTGTGGAGGAAGGAAATTTGCCCAACGTTTCGCTCTGCCCGGGAATCGAACCTGGTCCTCTTCGCTTGGGAGATGAGTGCTCCAACCACTAAACTACAGGACTTCGCATATTCTTTATGAGTGAGTTTCTTTTCTATCCACAGTCACTTGCACTGCAATCCAAGTGTGCAAAGCAGTTATCCATCCAATCTGGTTTGAAGAAAAATTGCTCTCACCGTCCCATACTGTTTGTGGGGACGCTGCTGTGTGCAATTGGCTGCCGTGTTTCCCCCGCAAGATATACAGTCAATTCACTTTACAGCATATCCTGTGAAGCGGTTTGAGACGTCTCGAAGACGTGTTAAGGCGCCACATCAAATGCAAGGATTATTATTATTATTCATAAAACAGGAGTAGGTAGTAAAGAAAAAGTCAAACAAAGGCCGTAGCAAGAACCAAAGGGAAAGAAGGGGCGAAAGCATTTGATGCACATTTTGTTTTTCTTTTCGAATGCTCTCTCTCCTACTTATTTTTGCGGTTTAGGGTTAAGATAACAATGAGAATATCAAACTCCAATTGGCCGCTGTGAACGGATCTTTTGCTGGCTTGGCAGCGTTCGAAGGGTTAAAAGAATTGTGAATTTTTTTGGGATGCATGGACATAATTTGTTTTAAATTACAAAAACAACAGGAAAACGGTTGAATAACATTGGTTTGCAAAGATCATTTTGAAGTCCCTCAGCGAGATTTAATGGTGGATCTAAATAACTTAAGAGAAGTTGAGAGTGTGGCAATTTAAAACCAGTCTCGCAAATGAATTACCACTGCTTCTTTCCTGTTTGTTGTAGGAAAAGTACATTCGTTTGTAGGTCACTTTGATACACATGGAATTTATTTTGGAACAGAGTCAAGTAGTAGTTACAAAGCACTCAGGCAACCATAAGATGTTGTGCAGCAGCAATTAGTCACAGTCTTCCCTTCGCAGATACGGAACCATTGCTGAACTGGTGCCGTTTGCATTTTCGCTTATTCAACACTGCTCTGTAGCATCAACCGGCACAAGAACCACAACCACTTGTATTTATATAGCCACCCCCCTTCACGCAGGGTCGCATGCCAGGGTNGGGGGGTGGTTGATGTTGGGGCAGAGAGGGCAGGCACGTGAAGCAGACCAGTGCTGAATGAGCCAAAGTGCATCCGTTTAGCAATGATCGGACAGAATTTATAACAATGTTCTGACATGTTAGATCTGGACAGTCTCAATGAACAGAGACAATATACCAATGATTAGGATTGTGATGCTCTTTAAAGCAGGTGCCGCTCTGCCCTCGTTCACTGCTTACACGGTTCACCGATGACGGGCGATGCTGAGGTCCTGTGAAATCGAGCAGTTTCTCCTGGAGATGGAGACGGAAGCGGGTTTTCGAGCAGGTTGTAGACGCTAGTGGAGGAGAGAAAGAAAATGAGCTCTGCCTATCATTTTCTGCTGCATCATCCACCATCACAATACTAAGGAGTTCACTGCCAGCTAGTTAATGCATCCAATCCATTCCCTGCCAAATTGTGAAGTGACCAAACATTCCCAAGCTTGACGTTACAGTCAAAGCACACGTGTGAGCTAACTCCCAAACCCTGGTTAAGTTTCAATGTTTTCGAGACACAATACACAGCAAACTTTCATTCTGTTGCAAAAAAAAAATTGCATTTATGATATAAAACAGATGCTGTGGGAACGTATTCAAATGCTGTAACATAATCTTGGAGTTCAGAGGCCATTAATAAGCCGCTTGAGTTTTGCTCTCACATTTAATGAAGTCATGCGAGCTCCTCAATGCATTACCTCCAAGCTATTTCTTACTCTGTGTATAATAGGATTACGGGGGCAACAATCAACACATATTACAGCCTTGTTTTTCAGGTAATACTGTGAATAAAGCAATTTCACTCACAAAATATATGGTCCATTCAATTTACAGTATACTCTGAAGTGCTTTGAGATGTTACAATGACGTGATAAGGCGCTGTATCAAATGCAAGGATTATTATTAGATATTCTCGGCTTCTCTTGTCATATAAACATAGATGGGATGGGGTTGATTCACTGTGGTATGATCCAAACAAACTTGATTTATTTTAGCTGTTGTTCTTATCATCATCATTCCAATCCTGTTTGTTCTTCGCATTATTCCACTTGACTTTACAGTATATCCTGTGAGGCGCTTTGAGACGTCTCGAAGACGTGATAAGGCGCTGTATCAAATGCGAGGATTATTATTATCATTATTATTATTCCCACCTCTCTGATGTATCGGGCTGATCTGTGCAACCTAGTAATTTTGTTTTTCAGACCTCCACGTGCTCTCCTTGCTTTATACTCTAGAAACTCCAGATCTCTCTCTCTGCCGTCTGATTTATAATTTTTCTTTTTGTCCAGTCTCTTTCATCATATATTACTGAGGTGAGGTGTCCAGGGCATTGCTTGTTATTCCTGCTTTTCATTATCATATGTGTCTCGATCGCCTTTCACGTGCAATGATTTCTAAATTTCCATATCTGCCATCATTTTACCAATCTTTTTCAGCTTCGCCTTCCAACATTCAACCCTCTTGGGGGGTCAGGTGGTGGGGGGGTGGGGGTTGGAGGTATTGTCTCTCTGGGTTTGAACTGACTTCAAGGAGACGTGTCTGACAAATCCTGGTAGTTCTACGGTAATCTTCGACCCTGCCAGCCAACAACCACAGCAACAACAACTAGCATTTAGATAGCATCCTTCACACCGGACAGCAGCTCAGAACCACAGCCCTTAGGAGAAGGGAGACCCTAGTTGGCCAACAAAGGCAGGTAAACTAAGTTCTTTCAATTGCCGTTCACCATAGGCAGGAGAGGAGCAAAATTTCTCACGAACCTGGCCTTAAAATGATTGTCTTAGTAATCAAGACCAAGCTGAAGTTTGGAAAATTCTTAAATCCCACCTCAATTTTGAAAGGGACAAGGCAGAGGGATGGAGGCAAAGTTTCAGGGCGTAGTGGCTGAAAGCACGGCCACCGAATGGAGAGCACGAGGGACATGCAGAAGGCCGGAGCCAGTTGGGCGGAGGCAGCGGGTAGTGGGTTGGAGAGGTAGGAAGAGGTAGCCAAGGCATGAAAACGAGCGTGAGGATCTTGAAATTGATCCATTCGGCGATGGGGAGCTGTGGAGCCTGGCTAGAACTGGTGCGATTGGGATACGGAGTTCATTGCGGGTGAGTATGTGCATGGTGGAGTTTTGGATCAGCTCAAAGTATAAAGACAATTATCTAAGGCTAAAACCATGCAACTTTTGTTCCTAAGGTCCCCAGATGAGAGTAGCTGGTAAACTAATCCTTGGAAACACCCAGACTTGAGGGTCGTAAACATTGAAACTCCAGCAGGACTTTCCACCAGCCGGCCAGCATTTAAAAAGGAATGACGCAATTCTGCTTTGCTCCTGTGTCGATTGGGCGCCCTTCCCTCTCAGCAAACCTTTGTGATGTGAATTGATCTGCAAAGGAAATGAAGAGCAAAACACGACACAGACTTAAGATCCTTCGGGTGGTAAAGTATCGCATTATTGCTGACTCCGAACACTTTATGAGCACACCTATAGGGCAGGGGGGTTACTTTCAGGAAACTCTAGCCTTAGAAAAGGTAACGCATAATCTTTCTTTACACCTAAATTTTGTTTAATGATAATATCTTGGGAGTCCCTAGAACTAGTTGTCAAGAGCTCAGCTATATTTGGAACAATAGCTCTTCAGGAGATTGGGAAGAGGGAACTGAAACGTTCCTTTTATTTCCTCCACATGAGCAAGAGAACATAAGTGGGGACAAAAACAAGATTTTTATCTGCTCCACCCCAGGAACATGATCCCCGTTGAACGATTACATGGTCCAGGCAGACAATGTCAGTGGAGCTACTCTGGTCAGCTCCACCTAGTTTCCTCATGATCTGTCTCATGCAGTGTTATTGCATTTGGCTGGAATTAAACTCGCTGCCAAGTTGACAACAACAGGAGCTCTATGCTTGGCCTGTGACGATTAATTGCATCGTTGATGGATATTAGTTGCTGCTTTTACCCAGCCTTTGACCTTGGGTTGACTTTATTCCAATTTAGCCTATATGTTCTGCCAAAGCATCTGATGAATCATTTCAATAATATTGACCATAATAATAATCCTTGCATCTGATATAGCGCCTTACCACATCATTGAGACGTTTGGAACCGCTTCACAGAATATACTGTAAGTGTTAGAGTTAGTGTTGTGCATTTTGTGGACGAAACGTGGAATTAATTAATTGCGACAATAGCACTAATCAATTAATCATGTTTTCTCTTAAATACCCTGATGCTTTCTGCTGTAACCACACCTTCCGGTAGTGATTTCCACATTCTTACCACCTTCTGCCTGAAGGAGTTCCTCCTAAACTCCCTATTAGATCTATCACTCGGTAACATATTAATAATAATAGAGAATATTATAATAATCCTTGCATTTGATATAGCGCCTTATCACGTCTTCAAGACGCCTCAAAGCGCTTCACAGAATATACTGTAAAGCGAATTGGCTATATATTTGGTGGATGAAACTCGCTCACATATTCATGATTGTTTTAAAGCAGTTGCTGTCTTACAACTTGGACTTTGTGTGCTGTACAGCTCCTGGATATATATTGCTTGAAAGCTGAAGAAAACAATGTTTGTGCAAGTGGAATGGGGATGGCTTTAAGGGCAGATGGGTTGAAAATGTGTGGAGAAAATGGCCACAGTGGACATGGCTATGAACCCAGCCCCCAGTTTTACCACAAGACTTCTGCGCTAGTTTTAATGTAGAGCTCTAAACAACTCTCAGGTGCAGAGGTCACCGAGTTTATTTATGCTGGGAGTTGGAAGTTGCCTTTCATTATTGAAGCCAACATCCAATTCCCAGTCTGAATGAGCTGTTCTTCAGATTGATTTACAGAATGAAGGGCTGAATTGTTTCTCATATGCATCGTGAACCAAATGTGTTTGCTCCCAAATTCACAGCACAAAGTGTGTTTCAGTACACACCTGCTCAGTTTAATTTCCCATATTATTATTCATAATAATATGAATCCTATGCATTTGATATGGAGCCTTATCATGTCGGCAAAACATCCTAATTCCCACCTCATATGATTTACTGTAGAGTGCAGAGTGTGTTTTGTGGGCTTAACTGACCAGAACAGGGTCCAGATTGGTCACACTACCTGAAGATAAATTCAATTTTTTTTTGGGTGGCGCGGGGTAGGGAGACGGGACAGATATATCTCTGTGACCTTAATATTCTTTCCCTGTTTCTGGCCAGAGAAAGGTGAGGAAGCTCACTATGGAGTCCTGTAGCTCAGTGTTTAGAGTTAAGAGTTTCCTTACTCCAAACGAGAGGACCTGGGTTTGATTCCCGGGCAGGGCGAAATGTTGGGCAAATTTCTTTACTCCACGCACACGCCTCTGTTTATCTGGAGGTAAGTGGAACCCGGTTGTTAGTCAAATGTTGGATCACTTTTCTGGGGGTTAATAAGCCCTTAAAAAATATATAATAATAATTTGATCGCTCAATCCTCTATTTGCGGGACACTGCTGTGCGCAATTGGCTGCCGCATTTCGCCCACAGAATATCCAGTCAATTCACTTCACAGTGTATTTTGTGAAGCGCTTTGTGACGTCTCGAAGACGTGATAAGGCACTATCAAATGCAAGGATTATTATTATTTTATTACTATTACAGTGCAGCTCCACAGCCGCACATAATCCTGTATCCTTTTTTAATTCCAATTAAAAGATAATTTTGAACAAAATGAAGATTATTGTAAACATTCCACTTGAGCGTTATAAATAGACGAACGCATTAATGACCGTTGCTCCTTTTTTTTTGTACATTACCGTGAGCTGACTGGAACTCATTAAATCTTTAGTCGTCCATTCACAGGAAGATGGGGAGTGGGGGAGAAAAATCCTGTTGTAGGAGGTTTCCACAGATTATCTCTTGTACATAAGCCATACATCCCCTGCAGACAGATGATAAACACATAAAACAAACGGAAAAATGCTTCGGTTTACTTGTGTGAGATGATAAAGTTTGACTGATGCGTGCATTTAATACAAAACTAGGGTAAGACTGAATTCTGACTCATTCTTGAACAGACAACCATGCCATTTAGCTATTATATCCATTGCTGTTAATCAATGCCACATCTGTTTCCTATTGCAACTCACAAAGGCTTTGCTAAAGCTATACTTTCCCATTCTGAAACAAGAAATGAATTTCAAATTAATGGATAATAATAGATAAACTTCCAGGGATATTGCCTACGTACATTACACGTGGCTCTTTCCGAATGCCCACAGGCTTGATTTCGAACCCAGCGAGATACTCGATTGTTAGTCAATAGTCGTCTGAGAAGCTTAGATTAATTCCGCAACTCATTTCTTTACGAATGCTAATGTACGCTTTGTTTGATGATGTGGTCGTCTCCGCAGACCCCAAGTAACCATCCTGAAACAATTAGGTGCATTTCAATCTAATCTGAACTTTACATAGGGAACTTTGGGCTTTGGTTCGAACCCGTTTAAGTAACATTAGAGGTAAACTGATAAGACGTACAGGACAAATTATCCTCTTTGCAAGTATTGAGTGGAAGGGTAGGGTGGTGGGGGGGGGAGGGGGAGAGAAGGGGGCAGTGAAAATCTATTTAAAAATACACTTATTAAAATGCAAACGGCAATCGTCTAGTCGGGTGCAATCGGTTGACAGGTGCTTAGCCACACGTCACTGTCAATGGTTTAATTTAAGAAATTACAGATGTTTTTTGTTCAGCTTCTTTCTCCTTCGATTGCTGGGATCCTCTGTGGATGCCTGTTTAGAGCTGTGGGAGGATGTTGGAGTGACAACCTCTGAATAATTAGTGGGTGTCAATGTTTGTAGGCACTTTAGACAATAGATCGCGCTCTCTTCCATTTTCTGTCTCTCTCTCTCTCTCTCCCCCTCTCACTTGTTTTAAAAAAGTCTCCCTCAAATGTTTCCAGCGGAAAAGCCCTGTTAAAATGAAAAGCATTAAATAGTAAAACGACAGCAGTCCATCGGTGTCACTGCCGAGAGACTCATTCTGTCTTATGCTTCCTTATTGCTGCCGGTAGCGAAAGCTGCTTTGATCCAGGTGCTCATTGATGTGACTCTCTGTATCACTTTAAATCAGTGTCAAAATACCTCCAAAACCACCCAAAGTTAGTGTTCTGTGGACTCAGTGTTTGGTACAGGTGCCACTGCCAACCTTTGTAATGTTATCATCACTGGTTACTCTCGTAGTGGAGTCCTGTAGCTCAATGGTTAGAGCCCTCGCCTCACAAGTGAGAGGGCCTGGGTTTAATTTCCGGGCAAAACAAAATGTTGGGCAAGTTTCTTTACTCCACACGCCTCTGTTTACCTCGCAATAAGTAGGAACCCAGTTGTCAGTCGATTGGCGGATCTCTTTTCTGGGAGTATTAATCCCTTCAAAAAAAATCATAATAATAATTTGGTCACTCAATCCACGACTGTGTGCGGGACGCTGCTGTGCGCAATTGGCTGCTGCGTTTCGCCCACAAAATATACAGTCAATTCACTTTACAGTATATCCTGTGAAGCGCTTTGAGACATCTCGAAGACATGATAAGGTGCTATAAGGATTAAATGAGGGAGGGTGGGGGGGAGTGGGGCGGGGAAGGGGTAGTGGGGGTGCAGGGAGAATGCAGAGATAAGGTGCAGTATAATTTGCTCCTACTCCAATGATACATAACATGGTGATGAACTGTATGGTTTTGATGGACGGAGTCTGGCTGTGGTAGAAATAAACACAGTGCTGGAATGCCTGCCTCCAGGATATCATACATTGGTGTGGAGAACTTGCCACATTCCTTATTTCAATCATTTTTGCACAGGATCATAGATCATATTGGGAGCTTGGACCCAAGAAGTACAGTTAATGGGTTTGGTTGCACGAACTGAGCAGGTGATTGTTATCTGTACATCTTGTCGTGACTTGTCTTCTGCTCGTTCACTGCTTGAAATACCTGTCAAGTGTACAACTCATGTGCTGTCGCTGACATGTTCCTAACAACCCTTTTGCTGTGCTGTTCTTTACACGGAGAACCGGCATTGCCAATGCTATCTCAGCATTGTAAGGAACACCATCTCATTAGACTCTTCTTAAAACAGAGGGCACTGTATCAAAGCATTGAAGAGGATTCATTTCAAAAGACAGCAATAGCAACAAAAAAGCTCCACATAATCAGTGGAAAATCTCCACTAACACGGCTAATTAACTAAACATTTTATCTCATTTGCTCCTGCATTTGCCAAGAGAAATAAGGTTCGAGGACATAAGAATGAGAGTGAGTCAGTTAAATGTCACTTGCGTGAAAAGTATCCAAATAATTCTAAGATGACAATATCGAAAGGAGATGAAAGTATGTAGAGTCACAGTGGATGGTGCAATGGGTAGAATTTTACTGTGAAATTTGGTGACTGTGTTTGTTGGCAAACGTGGCAGTCAATTT